GGGGCAGGCCTGCCAGAACCCTTGGGGGAAGCACAGTAGTGGATCAGTGTCTCTCCCCCCCTCAAAGGAAGTGTGGGGCACATTCCCCCTCCGCCTCCCAGCCAGCCAGGAGAGGTGGGGGCCACCCCATTTGCCTATGCCCTTCCCCCCCAACCCCCTCCATGGCCAGCACAGAACTGATGTGTTCCCAACCCCCAGGGTGTGGCTACTCCCTGCCCCCCAGGGCCCATAGGGGATGGATCCAGGGGGCCCTGTGCCCTGGCTATTCCCCGGCCCCCAGAGGTCCTGGGAGGGGGGCTCCCCCGGCCCCTCACTCGCGGTGCGGCCCCTCGGGGGTGGAGGGGGCCCGGGGGGCAGGCCAGGGCAGGGCGCGGCCCAGGAGCAGCAGGGCCAGGGCGCCCAGGTGGACGCAGAAGTAGACGGAGCGCCAGTACTGCAGGGTGGCGCCCAGCTCCAGCAGCACGAAGCCCATGCACATGTAGTCGTACGCCCGCATCTTGAGGAACCAGTGCAGCCAGGCGCCCCAGGAGCGGTCGGACTCCGGCGCCGCCCCCCGGCGCCCCCGCAGCCCGGCCTCCATCGCCCCCTCGGCCGCCAGGCACAGCGGGATGGTCAGGAAGCTGAGGTAGTAGCCGGGGTGCAGGCCGTGCCAATAGGCCGAGATCAGCATGGTCCAGCCGCTCCTGGGGGGAGGGAAACGGAGGGCGGGGTTAGCTGGGGGGAAGCGCTGAACCCCCCCCATGTGTGCATGGCTCCCCCACCCCCAATTGTGCTCCCCTAGCCTCTGTGAGTCTCCCTCCCCCACATTCCCAAGACTCCCCTGTTTGAAGCCCCCAGAGATTTCACCTCTATTCCCTCATGTCTATGAGCCCCCTCCATGCCTCCCCCTCCCCCTGGTATTCACGCTCCCTCCCCATGAGACACCCCCCGCCCATGATTTCCCCTTCATGCCCCATATTGGGTCCTTTAACCTCCCCCCGCCACAAGGCCCACATAACCCTACCAGATCTCCGAGCCCCCCATCTGACCCCCTTCCCCAGGATCTCCAAGCCTCCCCGTGACCCTCTCCACCTGATCTGTGAGCGTCCCCACGAGACCCCCAACCCAGGGATCTTCGAGCCCCCCCCCCATGGTCTCCCCCTCATGGCTCCCCGTGCCCCCCACCTCATGACGTAGGAGCGGAAGGGGGCGCTCTTGTAGATGTACTGGGCCAGCCACCACTGCACGCTCATGTTCCAGTACCGCATGCCGTCCCGCACCCGAACGCAGAAGTCGGTGCCATACGGGTCGATGTTCTTGATGGTCTCGTAGTCATACTCGGGGGGAGCCACCCCTGGCGCCCCCTCCTCCGCACTGGGGTGGGGGAGAGCAGTCAGTGACAGGGATCCCAGGGCCGGATGGGAGCCGGCACCCCTTAGAGGGAACAGGCCCCAGGACCCATTTCCCGCCCCCCTGAGCCAGCCAGTCCCACCCTGGGGCCGGATGGGAGCTGGCGCCCCCTAGACGGGACAGGCCCCGTGCCCCATTTCCCACCCCCCTGAGCCAGCCAGTCCCCGCCCTGGGGCCGGATCAGGGCCAGCGCCCCCTAGAGGGGAAAGGCCCCGTGCCCCATTCCCTGCCCTGGGGCTGGGTGGGAGCTGGCGCCCTGCAGAGGCAGGCCCGTGGGTGCACCTGGGGCAGTAGGTGGTGGGGCCCCCGCCGGGGCGGGCGCGGGCGGCCGTGGGGTAGGCCCCGAAGGCGGCGGCAATGCAGGCACACTCGGCGCAGAGCCAGGCCACGTAGAAGCGCATGCGGAAGACGAAGAAGACGGGCACCATGTAGAAGAGGCGGAAGGGCAGCGCCCGGGCGGCGAAGGCCTCGCTCCGCACGTACTCCAGCGGGAAGAGCCGGGCTGCCCCCAGGAAGAGCAGCCCGTAGACCGGGACCAGCCTGGCCCGCGCCAGCAGAGGGCGCCAGCTGGGGATGGCCTGCGAGTCCGGCTGCTGCAGCCAGTCCAGGTGGGTCCTGTAACGGTAGAAGGGGCCTGGGGGGCGGGGGGGCGTATGGGGATGGAGGGTGATGGGAGAGGAGGTGGGAGGGGAGGGGGGGCGGAGGTGCATATAGGGATGGAGGGTGGGGGGAGAGGAGGTGTGTGTGGGGGGGCAGACGAGGAAGGAGGCCGGAGGGAAGAAAGAACGAAACGGGGGAAAGGAGAGAAATGCAATTAAAGGTTAACAGTGGAAAAGACTCCAGCTGGACCCCCTCCCACCACAGAGCTGGGGAGAGAACCCAGGCGTCCTAGCTCCCACCTCCCCCCTGCTCTAACCACTAGCCCCCACTCCCCTGGCAGAGCCAGGCAGGGAACCCAGGTGTCCGCCCGTCCCCCCCCCGTACCTGTCATGAGCCCCACGTAGCAGTAACTGTAGCAGAGGATCGGGCCCAGCCCCGGCACGCTGGGGATCAGCCCAATCGCGGGGCCCTTGGCGAACGAGGTGACGTCCTGCTTCTTGGCCTGGCTGATCTCCTGCACCTCATTGGCCAGGCTCACCATCTAGGGCAGGGGGAGCAACCCACGGGGTGAGCGCCCCCTACGGGACCACCGCCACAGCACCGCGCCCCCAGTGCCTGACCACCACACCATACGCCCCACCACCACGCCCCCTAGTGCCTCACCACCACACCACACCCCCCACGCCACGCTCCCTAGTGCCTCACCACCACGCCCCCCAAGCCCCACGGCACCGCGCCCCCTAGTGCCTCACCACCACATCACAGGGCCCCCACACGCCCCACCACCATGCCCCCCACGCCCCACAGCACAGCACCCCCCCACCCCACAGTACAGCACCCCCTAGTGCCTCACCATCACACCACACGCCCCACCACCACGCCCCCCACGCCCCACAGCACAGCGCCCCCCATACGTCCTGCCGCCACAGCACAGCGCCCCCCTGCGCCCCGCCCCCCCCACCTCACGGCACAGCGCCCCCTAGTGCCTCACTACCACA